CATTTTATTTTGTCGAAGCATGAAAAGATAATCACATTTAGGTTAAATTGTCTAAAATATAAAACTCAGCTGTGAAAAAACACAGCAGCTAGGTAAACAGCACATTTTATTTTGGTTGTAATCTGTAACAAATTTAATCAAAATGTTTTTTTATTTTATTATTATTATTATTTGCTAATCGTTCCAACCTTTGACCTGATCTAGAATCAGACTTCGTAATGTGAAAACACTCAGATTATTTTTTTGTTCGGTATGTTTTTCAGCACGTAACTCTTTCCGCAATTTTTATGCTATTTCAACAATTTGTATACATCAAAACGTTCGGCTCCTTCAGTACATTCATGCTATGACATTTGGTGCTTCAGAGGGTTCAAAATGCTGCTGCACGTCATTTAATGGGTACACGGAAATGTGACCATATTTCCCCTGTTTTAGCTTCTTTACAATGATTGCCAATACCTTTTAGGGTTGATTTTAAAATCCTTTTATTTGTTTTTAAAGCTGATAATGACCTTGCACCTCTCTACTTGTCTGAGCTGTTGCACCCTTACACACCTTCCCGTTCCTTTAGGTCAGCTGACCAATTGCTTTGGAGTGTGCCAAGGACAAAGCACAAGCTTAGAGGGGACCGTGCTTTTTCTGTGGCAGCTCCCAAACTATGGAATGACCTTCCTTTGGACACAAGACAGGCCTCTTACCTTGATGTTTTTAAATCGCTTTTTAAGACCCATCTTTTTTCTTTGGCTTTTTGTCACAATTGGAGATGTTTGACTTTGTTTTATTGTGTGTTTATTTTGTGTTTTATTTGATTACTATGTTTTATTTTTCTATTTTATGTTTGTGTGTAGCACTTTGGTCCTGTCAGTGTTTAAAGTGCTTTACAAATGAAGTTGGTATGGTATGGTATGGTATGGTATGGTATGTATGGTATGGTATGGTATGGTATGGTATGGTATGGTATGGTATGGTATGGTATGGTATGGTATGGTATCAATAATTTATGCTTTTTAAGATATTTAGCTTTTTTAGTCATGTGTTACTCATTGAAAATGAGTCTAGCTGTTTTTAACATCCTTAAAACCTTTTAAACGTTCATAAATCTTTTGTTCTTGTTCTGCTTTTTTATGTGTGCTAATTTCAGCTTCCTTCGGCTCCTATTTTTTAATGTTTTTTTACCTATCAATCTGACTTTTTCAGCTAGTCTTCTAATTTGAACTTTTTCTGCCTTTTCAGCTGTGTTCTGCAAATGTCTGCTGTTTTCTGAGTTTTTAGCTGCTTTTGTGCTAATTTGATCTTTTTTCAGCTAAATTCACCTTTTTGTAATAAGAAATAATTTTAGCTTCTTACTGCCTAATTTGGCAAAGATGTGTTTATTCTGTTTCTTTCTAACCGTTATAGGTTAGTTTCAGAAAAAAAACCTTTCAACATTAAGCATTCATGCTGCATTTTTGCAAGAAATGCAAATTCTCTAGTTTGTTTTGATTTCATTTTATCTAAACTCTTAGCTTCAGTGCATGTCAAAGTTGTAATGGGTTGAAAAGCTGATTGTTCGGTTGTCACCAGTGCTTTAAGGTTACTGCTAGATGAAGTGCAACTTTCTGGAGTGTGCAGGATGCATAGATTATGACACCGGAGTAACGCAGCTCTCCACTCGTGCCTAGCTGCTGCTGTTGTGTATTTGAACAATGCAGCTGTGTTGACACATGAGATACAGCCTGGAACAATGAATCCAAAGGTCAAGAAAGCAGAACCTGTGACAGAAGATCGTGTTATTCTTGCCTGACTGGGAACATGTACATTATGGCTTGTGGTTTTAATTTAATATCTGTAATCTGCAGGGGAAAAAAAACATGTTAAAATAATCATAGAAGCTCTGTTTTCTATTTATAGCAGCAGCGGTTCTCTGTCTGCGTTCTTGGTTACTTTTCTGTGTTTAGTTGCTATTTTTAAAGCTTCCGCCCCAACGTTTAATCATTCATGCTTTGGAGGGTAAATGGCGACCCTGTTTCCTGCAGAAGAAGTGGAAGGGGAGTGGGTGGGTGGATTAGAGGGGGTCTTCTCTCCTCTCTGTAGTTGGGTCTGCAGTTGTTTCATCTTGCTTGAATTTTCCACATGTTCCCCTCCTCCAGAATATCCGGCTCTGGAGCTATGGAGCTAACATTTACTGCACCACATGCTAAAAGTTATTTTGATCACCCCCCCGACTTCCTGTTGGGTTTTCCTCATTTGTTCCAGGAACAAAAAGCTGCCCACGATCATATCTGAACCATTGTTGGGTGTGAAGAGGATTTCTTCATGTTCTGTTGCTCCTCTGTTCTGTGCAGACAGGAGACAGAAGGCTTTGCTCAAGGTCTGTTCCCTCTTAGCGTTCTGTGCAACAGTTGGCCAGGGTAAAAGAAAGAGAGAAAAAAACTAACAACAGTGCAGCCTCTCCTTCAAGTACAGCAAGGAGTGACGTAATGAGGCGGTAAAAGCAAACCCTTGTATCCTGGAAGTGAGGATTGCTAAACAAAAGTCTGTTAGATTGGCTCAGGGCTTCTTACGTATGTGTGAGTCGGTTGAACATTATGTCAACAGTGACTTCTGAGAAACTGCACGGTCATGTCAATCAGACATAATTCAACATGTCAGGAACCTCAGGTTTACAGTATGAGCACTGTTTGGTTTGTTTGGATCACTTTTAATCATTAATCAGAGCATTTTAACTAACGTGAGACTGATTTATTTCTACTTCGTTGCACAAAGTGAAAACTTTGGTATGGTTTTGTCTCATCAGCTTCATAATGAAAACACATTTCTGAAGGGCTGTGTATTGCCAGGAAATTGGTGAAATCAATGCATGTCACGATATGCATTTCAACCTGTAAAGACTCGCAACACAGAGAATGATAGCAGTTAAACAGTTTTACTGATAGGGTGAAAGTTGTTTGACGCTCGAGCCCAAAGCACCCCGCCCCCCCTTCCCTCCCCCGGGGCTCGGACACTGGTGGTGGTGTGGAGGTCAGAGATGAGGTTGGAGCTGGGTTAAACACGTCAGGAGAGCAGACTGGTCCTAGGGTGCTGGGCCTTTAGACCTGGATCAGGCGCCGATGAGCGGCAGCTGGGCACCTGACGCGGTGAACGGGTGGTGCAGGTGAGCTGGGGAGAGTCTTCCAGTCTGAATTCACGCCTCAGGCTTCATAATGTGATATATTTCAATACTATAAGCAAGGTAATATATTGCCTTTTTTTCTTCAAAAGATTCTAATTTATAAAAGCTCAGAATAAAGAGCACACCGTGCTTTACAAGCGTAAAATCTGATTAAAACTCCTTTTTTATGTAATCATAACACACTGACAGTGAGATCTGTTTTGTATTCTACATTTCCTCTTACAACATCCATCCATTAAGCCTTAATTTAAAATCAACACAGTGCTTTTAAGATTCAGTACAGTATTAAAAAAGTTTGAATATGGGAGGGGAGATGGTTGGTTGGCATCTGTTTGATTGTGACGCTGCACAACCAGGAATAACTGAAGTAGAGAACCATGTCAGTTGTCTGGTCATTTTTTATGGTATTGAAAAAAGACACAAGTGTATTTGTGCATATATGTAATTTGTGTGTTTGTGTGATATCGGTAAATTTCAATTATTGGCCATAACAGCAATATTAATCAGTTATCAGTATTGGCTGAAATGTTCATATGGGTGCATCCTTAATTTCAGTGTATCTATATTTCTCCAAATCACACCTAAAACGCTTTGCAAAAACGTTTAGACCTGGTTAATTCAGTGCTAGTTATAACTGTTACCTGTTAATCAAAGGTTGGAGCTTTGAAGGGCAAAAAAAATATTCAGCTTTAATATTAATTCCAATCAATGCTACTTAAAAAAAAGATGTAGCATTTCTTCAAAGAATGACCCGCCTCCTTTAAAGCCAGACTTTTAAACTATGATCATATGTGACCCATTACATCAAAATGAGGATTAAATCTAAAAGCTGTATGTGGAGAAATAGGTAGATATAGTGTTTAGATTAAAACACTTGCAAAAATAACATTTTGTCAAAATATAACAAATAAATGTGTTATCAATGTATAATTTCAATGAACTGTCTGAAATATAATCCTAAAAAAACTTTTTGAAGCACTTTTTTTGAGCATTAGCAACCAAAAACCCAATTTTGAGGAAAAACACCTTAAAATGTTGAGATTTTCACTGTAAGCTATCAAAGCTTTTGTTTCTTTCCAGCTGGGAAATATTCAAATACTATTTGCGGTTTCTTTTTTCAAATGACATAGAAAATCCTCATTAAAATGACATAAAATTAGGATTTAGACCAAATGTTTATGTATTATTGTAACCAACAAGACAAACTAAATAATATCTCTGGATCTACTAATGATATCAGGATGATCTAAGTATCAAAATGTAGCTTTAAAGCCAAGAATCTGAAAACGTGATTAGGTCATTTTGAACAAATTTGACTTAATCCTCATTTTGATGTGATGGGTCACATATACTGAGAAAAGACAGCGCTATAGCAGTTGTGGTTAAACTTGGTGACTTTGTGTTACATGTGCTCACATACTTCATGCAATGTGTCACCACTCAATGAAACCAGATGAGTTCTGATTTAATACTTGTGAAAATGACAGTTGGCCTTCGTTAATTAGCCGTGGCACTAATTTTAAATCAGTCACAGTTGTACAAAGTTGTTACTTTGAGTTTCATTGAAGTGTTTCATGAGATATTTTGCTAACAGACAATCGGGGTTGACACCAATGGTTAATACCACTGTTTTAAGCAAAGATTGTGCTGTTATATGAATAACAGCGATGACCACTTCTAATTTTAGCTCACAAGCTGAAAAATTGACTGAATTGTGTTTTGTAAGGTCTCTTGGCTGTGGCGGCCATCTTGAATTGGATTGACACTAAAAGTTAATAAGTTGTAAATTTGTAAACCATACTAACTCTGATAGAACTTCAGTCATCAGGTCTGTTTGTTTGTCCTGCAGGTTCGAGCAGAGCTGCCTGATAAACTGAGATGTCATCCAGGATGCAGAGCTCCAGCAGAACGGCTCAGGCCAGGCGGACGGTGCAGCAGCTGAGGATGGAGGCCAGCATCGAAAGGATAAAAGTGGGTCCATGCTTGTGTCCTACTTTTCTCTTTCTGATCCATGTCATAGTGTTTGTTGTTTTTGTTTATTTTTCTTCGCAGGTGTCCAAGGCTTCGTCAGACCTGATGCGTTACTGCGGAGAGCACGCCAAGAGCGACCCTCTGCTCATGGGCATCCCCGCTTCAGAAAACCCTTTCAAGGACAAGAAACCCTGCTCTGTTTTGTAACGTCACGTTTAAACTCTTGCTCGTTTTTTAATCGTATGTGACACTCCTGTGGGTAACGATGTTCACAACTCGCCTTTAAGGTTTGGTTTTTACTGTTCCACTCAGCTGCTGCAGTTTGGAAGGACCAAAGCCTTCTTTCGTCTGTCTTTGGGTCTGTGACTACCAGTGGTGGGCACAGCTTTCACAGCTAACCAGAAAGTTCGGTTCACTACCCACTAACACACTGGGAATCCTAGCTCTGCTAACACTAATCTGCTAAACAAATAAATAAAATTAGTTGAAGCTAACGCTAACCACTAAGACAACAAGTGACAGCCTGGTGGGTCTGATGCAAACCTGCTGTTAGTTCTCTATTGGTTTAATTTGAATGTGGGCGGGATCATCTGTGGCCCATCAGCCAATCCAAACCACAGATCCGTCAAACTTATGCTACTTGTTTGCCTCTTTCAGAATAAGTGTTTCTTTGATAGTTTGTGTTTTTTGTTAATACTGTTTGAAGTTAATCAAACAACAAAAAGAAAATACTCTCTACCATATTTCATATGTAATCAGTTTTTATATTTGTTATTAAAATATTGTCAAATGTTCTTTTGTTTCTTTTTGACGCTTTTAGTTTGAAGTTTAGCTGCTAAAGATGCTACATGCTACAGCTACACACATGGTGCCTGATAAGAACAGATGGCTTTTATTTAATTTGGGATAAATGGCATAAAAATAGAAGTTTTACACTCGGGAACTTTTTAGTGGACTTAAAATTAGTGGAACAAAAAATTTAGCAAACGCTAATGGGTCTGCTAATGGTTTCTAAAATTGGCTAAATGAGAAGCTAGTTCTGTGATTAGTGGATTAGGGGAAATGTGCCCACCACTGGTGACTTCTTACAGACTCCAGCAGAAATAAGTTTGCGTGATGACCCTTTGGTGGCTTTGAGGTTCTTCAGACTTGTTTAAAAACTGAACTGACACAAGCAGCAGGGCGAATGCTTGAGTATAATGAAAAAAGCATCTGCAGAGCTGATTAAAGTCTTTTTATTAAAACATATTTGCCACTTGATCCCAAAAACACGGGGTCATCCGTGATGACATGAAATAAGCAGATTTTCACATGTGATGTTCATGTGTTTTGTTTTTCGTAAGATATTTAAACGCTGACCTTCGGACTATTCTGGTTTGTTTTTTTTTTCAGCATGAAACATGAAGAGTTTATCAGAATTATTTTCAATAAATATGTTTTGTCAGGATTTTATTCTTTAAACTGGATCACGAGCTGTTACAGTTTATGGGTGAGTTTCTTTTCAGTTTAATGTTCTGATTGTTTTTGGACCTGCTGTAATATGCTGTCAATCAAAGGATAACAGTCTGAGCAGCGTTACGTCACATTAAATTCACCTCATTAAACACAGAGTGGGAGTGGCTGTAGACAGAAAGTATAATTAACATACAATCACAAAATTATTTTTTTAATTCACCACCAGATGTGACCAGAGGTGTCAGTGCAGCCCAATTAGCTGGAACCGATTTGTAAAAACAAGTCTGTGCAACAGTTTTTACATTCTGATAATACCGAGACAACCACAGACCACAGCCTGAACAACTGCATAGTTTGATTTATTGTCTCAGTTATAGATAAATGAATGCATCACTGCGTTAAAGGTTTCTGTCAACAAGATGTTGTCATTAAAGAGCATGACTTTATTTTTGTAAATACAGTATTTTTTCACGAGTCTGTTGATTTGTTTGAAACAGCCACACAAACAGTGATATAAAAACATGATTTCTCTTTAATTTATCCTGACAGATGTTCAGCCGTACCTGAGACACAAACATGGGTTTTGATCAGATAGTGAATCCCACAAATATGAAAGGACCTTCTGCATGTCTGACGCATCTATAATGTTGATTTTGTCACGCTACCTGGCTGAAACTAATGTGTGGCTGAAACTATTTCAATCCTTTTACATTTTTATTAAATACTTTATTCAAAAACTGTGAAAAATGAAGGCTGTTCAGATGAAGTCTGGGAGGATTTAGATATGGAGTTTTAATTGTCACTGTATTTCATAAAGCCTTGTATTAAAATGATTATCTCATATGTCCATGTTCCACAGTGTGTACTCTTTACTTTCTGTTAATGTACATTTTTACCTTATAGGACTTCTAGTTTTTTCTTGAACCCCCCAGTATACACCTTATCTTCCAAAACTTCAAACATATTACAGCTTCAAATATTCTGCTCAAATCTTTCTTACTTGTCTTGTTTCCAACATAAAACACAGAAACATAAAGATTCTCTTCAGCTGCTCACATTTCAAGTATTTATAAGATCCAATTTATTGTTTGAACAACAACTGGTTGAGGATTTTTTTTCAGTCTGTCTTAGCATTAACTGGGCAGTCGGGGAGTGACACACAGGTGTACGGTTATGGTGACCCCTGTGAGCCACTGGCAGCAGCTTTAACCACATTTGATCGTATTTTTCTTTTTTTTTTAAATTCTTCTACAGTTTATACATAAAAATGGAGCTTTTTTTTATTTTTATTACCTTTTAGATCAGTTCAGTGGTTTTCAAACTTTTTAGCTTCTGGCTCAAAAAACAAAAACAGTTACATCAATCAATCCAAATGTATTTATATATGTGTTCTACAACAATGACTACTGACCCAAAGTTCTGTCCTTTCAGTAATACAAATAACGAGTAAAAACCAACATTGGTAGAAAAATAAGAACTGTTTGAAAAAACAGTTCTAAATAAATGTTTTTAGCTTAGCTTTAAACCAAAACTATGACACTCTTTCCATAAATCTATTATCTTCTGCTTGTTCTGTGTCCCAGTCGGACATGCGTGAAGCACCTCCCTAGGGAGGTGTCCAGGAGACATCCTTACCAGATGAACGCCCTCAGCTGGCTCCTCCGGATGTGGAGGAGCAGCAGCTCTACTCTGAGTCCCTCTTGAAGAACTGAACTCACCCAAAGAGTCCAGCTACCCTGCAGAGAAAACTCATTTTGACCTCTTGTATCTTAAATCATGTTTTTTTGTAAATCTGTTAGGTGAGGGTAGGAACGTAGACTGACCAGTTAACAGAGAGCTTTTCCTTTCAGCTCAACTCCCTCTTCATCACGACAGACCGGTACAGAGTCTGCAAAACTGTGGAAGCTGCACAGATCCATCAATCTCATCCTCCATTCTTCCCTCACTCGTGAACAAGACCCCAAGATACTTGAACTCCTCCACTTGAGGCAGAACTTCACCCCCAACCCGGAGAGAGCAATCCACCTTTCCCCGACTGAGGACCATGGACTCAGATTTGGAGGTGCTGATCCTCATCCTGGCCACTTCACACCCAGCTGTGAACCGTTCCAGTGAGAGCCGAAGATCACGGTACAATGATGCCAACAAGACCACAGCATCTGCGAATAACAACCCTGAAGCCACTGAAATAAGACTCCCTTGGCTGCACCGAGAAATTCCATCCATAAAAGTTATGAACTGAATCTGTGACAATGAGCAGCCATGGAGTCCATCTCCCATCCTGAAGGGGTCCATCTTACTGCAACACAAACCAAACTCTCGCACTGCTGCTATAGAGACTGAATGGCCTGTAATGGACCCACAATGCCATAATTGTTGAGCACTCCTCACGGTGTATTTTGAATCTAAGTCCACAAAACATGTACACTGGATGGACAAATTCCCAAGACCCCTTGAGGACCCTAGTGAGGATAAAGAGTTGGTCCAGTGTTCCACGGCCAGACCAGAACCCGCGTTGTTCCTCCTGAATCTGAGATTCCACCATCAATCGGACTCTCTTTTTCCATTACCCCTGGAAAGACCTTACCAGGAAAGCTAAGGAGAGTGATGCCCCTTTAATTGGAGCACACCCTTTGGTCCTGTTTTTGAAGAGGGGAACCACCACAGTCCAGTGGCACTGCCCCCGATGTCCACTCAGTGTTGCAAAGGTGCGTCAACCAAGCCATCCCACAATATCCAAAGCCTTGAGGAGATGAATCCACCCCTGGAGCCCTGCTGCCATGGAGCTTTTTAACTACCTGAGCCCCAGTTATGGACCGACCAGCCCCAAAGTCCCCAGACACTCAGTGTTGCAAAGGTGCGTCAACCAAGCCATCCCACAATATCCAAAGCCTTGAGGAGATGAATCCACCCCTGGAGCCCTGCTGCCATGGAGCTTTTTAACTACCTGAGCCCCAGTTATGGACCGACCAGCCCCAAAGTCCCCAGACTCTGCTTCCTCCATGGAAGGTGGGATTGAGAAGGTCCTAGAAACATTCCTTCCACCTGCTGACAACACTGAGGCTTATTTTATTTTATTTCAAAAATTATGATGAAAATATTCGCAACATATTTGTATTTAAGTTGATCTGTGGGACCCTCACTTGATGTTTTATGACCCACAGAGAGGTCCCGACCTCAGAAGCCACCGGCTCAGATTGTTGCAGAGTTGTGTTGGCCGCAGGGGCACCTTTCAACATTTCTTCAGAAAATTTCTGTCTCCACTTCCTCTTCTGAAGCAGCGTTGGCCAGTTCAAACATGAATGAATTTCTTCACCATAACAGTTGTCTCGTGGCAGAACAGAGGCAGGCCGGTCCGAATCATCCTGAGGGAGTTAAACTAACTGAGATCACAAAACCAGATTTCTCTGGAAACTTAAAGCTGTCAGTTCCCAGCATTTGAAGAAATAATCTTTTGCTGAATCGCTAAATCTATTCTGCACAAACACACCACACCAACAGGGGGTAAAGGGTTAAAACAAACAGGTTAGGCCGGGGCAAAAACTGTTAATTATTGGTGTTGTGGACATATCTATTGAACAAGGACAGAAATACATGAGGCACTTCATAGTATGGTCTGCTCAGGTTTACTGCAATAAACAAGAACACAGAGGCTGTCTGTTAAGATCATGATGTCACTGCCAGGCGCCGAGGCCAAAAGAAGAGACGAATAGCAGTGATAAATGAGTGTGATCACTCCCATCAGATATTGTTGTAGAAATAAAACATCCCTATCTGCTGATAACCAAAACAACAGAATAAAACCCAGTGACCTGATGTCATTGGGTCAGTTGAATATCTTATTACCAGACCTAAATAAGAACAGATCAATAAATATCATTCCATTATTACTGATGCGGGGCGTCTGACAGGTGAATGATTTTGATGAGATCAAGGGCACAAACCTGTTTGCTCTAATTTCTCATTGGGTGTGTTTATGTGCTCTGAGCCATGAGCCGCTCGTTACGCAATTAAGCCCCGGTGCTGCGTGTGACCCACCTTCCTCCTCTTTCCCATCTCCTCAGGTGTGATGTTACACCTGCATTCAGGTCAAGCTGCAGACGTTGGCCCACATTAATGTAATCTTTGATCGAGCCAGAGGATAGATGGGTTTGTAGCAGCTTTATTTCTGAGAGCTGGAGAGGAGTTACCTGGTAAACTGATATTCTGGTATCTTGAGTATCTTACCTACTTTTTCAGAAGCCAAAATGCTTTTCCTTTCTTTCCTCTCTCTCTCTCTCTCTCTCTCTCTCTCTCTCTCTGTCCTCTCTGCTTGTTTTTCATGAATCATGACTCAGCTGTTTTCAGGTATTTCTGCTATTACTGTTCTAGTTCCTGAAAACAACATCCCAGGTCAGATTTGGACAATTAAAACAGAGTAAATTCTGCTGATCGACACATTCCACAGGAAAACAAGGAGTGAGTCAGACAAAATGGAAAACGAGGAGTCACCACACAGACTGACATATCTGTGAAACCTGAATGTTTTATTCCACATCAGAACTTCAAACATCCAAGAGGTGTCTGCTCTACTACACTCAGTTTTAGCTCAGTATTGAAACAAAGTGGTATTTTCTTTCTAAGGTTGGTTTGCTGTGGCAGCCATCTTACATAGAGTTGACCTCAAACATTAATCATCTGTGGTTAGTTTTTTTGAGCTTTGTTAAAAATCCATTCTTGATGTGTTTTCACAACAGAGTTTAACCTAATAATAAATGTTGACTTTTTAAAAGAAGATCTCGAGTGACCTTTAAGCACTCAGAGTTGGTGATGATGATGAGTCTCAGCTACTACCACATCAAATTTTAGATCAGTAAAAATAAAATTGACTACGTTATACACAAAAACAAAACAGATATAACGGATTTTACTTTAAAACGTTGTGTCAACTGATTAGTTGGCATGTTTTAAAGTGAATCAACTACGTTTTTTAGTTGTTTTCATGTTTCCTAGGATTGTGTTTTTATTTATTTTTTCAGGAACAGTGCAGTTAGACATGTGTGACCCATCACATCGAAATGAGGATTAAGTCCAAAAGCGGTGTATGGAGAAATAGGCAAATATAGTGTTTTGACTAAAATGTTAACAAAAATAAAAGCCTTATCAATGTATCAGTTGAATGAACTGTCTGAAATATAATCATAAAACAAAATTAGGAAGCACTATTTTGAGCAGTAGCAACAAAAAAACTTATTTTGAGGAAAAACGCCTTAAAATTTTGAGATTTTCCCTGTGAGCTGGTTTTATTTCTTTTTAGCCGGAAAATCTCAATATTCAACTATAATTTGAGGTTTCCTCTTCATAATGACATAAAAAATTCCTCATTAAAATGACACAAAATTAGGATTCAGACCAAATATTTATGTATTATTGTAACCAACAAGACAAATTAAGTCATATAAATGGATTCAACTATGATATCAGAATGATCCAGGTATCAAAATGTAGCTTTTATAGCCAAGAATTTGAAAATGTAATTAGGCCATTTTGACCAAATTTGACTTAATCCTCATTTTGATATGATGGGTCACATACAGTGGACATAGAGCACATATGTTTTTGTTGAGGTAGTAAAACGTAAACTCAAAAACATTTGTTTTGGATTTACTTCAATTATGTCAACAGGTCCTACTCAACTGAATTGAGTAAATGTAACATTTTTGTGTTTTTTATAGATGAATGTGAAGTAAATGTGTTATATTTACTCAATTTAGTTGAGTAAAACCTGTTGACATGATTTATTTAAGTAAATCCAACACAAATGTTTTTGAGTGTATAATGTTTCAACATATAATTTTACGTAGCTGTAATTCGTAGTTGTCCAAATCACGGCCCCAAATCTGATCAAATCTTTCATAGTTGCCCTTTTTTGTTAGCCTTATCTTTCCCAGTTGAAGAAATGACAGAGTACATCACATGTTCTGCACAGAGTAGCAGTTTGCTACAATTCACAAACCTAACTGGGCTTTTAAAAGACAAAAGATAAAACAGTTTGAGCGTGACAAAACTTTAATATAATCAACAACATTAAAATTGTAAAATATATTCACACAATCTGGAAAATCTGACCTTTTTAACAGAAAAAACACTAAATGTTTCATTCAAATTTGTTACCAGATTTTTCCAGACAAGTCTTGCTGTGATGACTGGAGTCCCAGTGTGGTTTAAAACTTCTGCCATTTACTGAGGATGTAGGTCACTGAGCTCACTGAGACTTTCATCAGTGCAGACTGTTTTCTGTTCCTCCCTCAGATCTGTGCCCTGACACAACCCAGCCTTCAGACAGTTTCATGCTTTGGTTTGTGCTCTGAAATCACCAACACTGACACTTTACACAGACTGGTGTGGCTCTTTTAAAATCCCGTCTGACCTACTGAATCTGGGATTATTTGAAGGATTAACAAAGTGGAGGCAGAATGCACCTACAGTTTATAACATACTGTATGTTAACTTTAAAATATTGTTGGTTAGGTTTATTTGTATTTGTAAAACACATGGAGGTTATTGTTTTAAGTTCATTAGTAGACAATAGTTGACCTGACAAACTGACCTCTCTTCTAAAGAGACCAGTTAACCTTTTCTGTATTCTTATTACTGTCTATCTGAAGACTTAAAATATAAATACTTTTATTGCCTCACATGAGTACCCAAAAATAATTCAGTTTAGAGTACAAAAGTAAACTGCCACCACGTCTCCTCGTCCAATGACATGACGGTTTTTTACAGCGATTTTGTTGAGTAACCTGATCTAAAACCAAACTGACAGAGGTGTAACTAATACATGTACTTTGTTACAGTATTTTTTATTGCAACTTTTACTTTTGATTTGTTACAGTCAAAACATAAAAATGTTAAATCTACTTTTAAATTACCCCTCAGGAGTTCTTTATCCACTCTAAAAACTAAAGTGTTGAATTTACTGAACCAAGTTATGCCGACTGGTTCCACTAAACCATGTTAAGTAAATATAAAACAATTTACTTTACATTTACTCATCTTGGTTTAATGGAGTCAGATTGATTAAGAAAATTCAACATTTTGTTTTGCAAAATACTTTTACGATTATTATGAGCAGTTTTATGACTTTAACTTAAGTGCAAAATGAAATAAATTTTTACCAAAGTAACTTTTGTTAATGTATTTTTTTTGCATTTCCTTAGTAATTTCTTTCGAGTACTTTATACACCTCTGCAAACTGAAGCAGATGAAGATCTTCAATAACCTGACCAGAAATTATTTACATAACATTATGTATTTTATTAATCGATATGATGACTGCCTTTTTTCCCCAACCAAAAATAAATGTATTTAAATTAATATAAACTAATGGAAAGATTGACAAAATATATTAGGTGCAGTTTCTGTTTCTGTATGTTTTAAAGAAATACTTGTGCACTAATAACTTTAAAATAAGTCAAACTTTTAATGATCCCAGCAATGGAAGGCCAACATGGATTTTTTTTGTGGATTATTTTGTTAGTGATCATTATTTTCCTTCAGATTATTTGAAATGATGATTAAGTTGTTGGGAAACTTTCATGTGAAAGTATTGTTACTCTTTGTATTTTCTATTAGTAGGATACATTGAGTAGCTGTGGGCGCCTCCCTCAAGGCCGTCTAAAGGCTTTATTAGGCAAACAATCAACATTTTAGCTGCATTAGTTGAATATTTTATTTATTTATTTATTTATCCTCATTATTTTTTACCACAGTTCAGATTATTTTACATGAGGTCCACACTTACAAGTGTGATACAGACATCATGACATTTTTAGGCACACTAATCAAGACAGAAACTTGCCAACTTGACTCAACATTTTTAAGTTTATTAGTCAATTAGTTAAATTTGTAGGTTGCATTAGTTCAGTGGTTCTCAAACTTTTTGTCTTCTGACCCACTAGATACCCATGGCAAAAACTTGTGACCCCAAATATTACTGGTCTGAGGACACGAACTTTGTTAATAACCCTAAAAACACAGGCTTTTTGACAATCTAAACAGCTTGTTGAACACAAATATGAATACTTATTTCTACTTATTTTGTGTTTTTGTAATAGTTATAGGGAAAATATTACATCAGTAATTATTTTATTAGCCTTTAAATTGATTTCTGGAGATTATCCAAGGTGCTTCATGACCCATAATTGGGTCCCAAGCCCAACTTTGGGAACCAAAGTGCAGTGGTTCCCAAACTTTTCAGCTTTTGACCCACAAAATAACAGTAGCAGAGACCTGAGCCCCCAACTATTTTTGGATGATAAACATTTGCATCAGGTCAACTAAACATGGGCATAGTAACAATATTTTATACTTCATTTATCCATTTTAAATACACTAACCTCACTCCTTCGTAACAACTAAGGCAAAAATGTCATTAATTCAGAAAATCTTTTCAGGACCCCACCTTGATGTTTCAGGACCCCACTTTGGGTCCCGACCCCAACTTTGGGAAACACTGCATTAGTTGACAAGTGTGTCTCTATGATGACCTGTCCAGGGTGTACCCCGCCCCTCGCACTGTGACTGCTGGATATGGACACCAGTGACCCCCTGTGACCCTGAAAGGAACGAGGGGTATAGAGGATGGATGGATGGATGGATGGATGGATGGATGGATGGATGGATGACTAGTTGGCAGCACAATGGAACAGTGGTTGGAGCTGCCGCCTCACAGGTTCACCTCTCTGGCTCTCTAGAGTTCGCACGTTCTCTCCGTGCAGGTGTGGGTTTTCTCCCACACACACCAAAATCAGGAGTAATTAGATGAAAACTGTCATTAAGAGCGAGCATGCTAATTATTATTAGTCCACATGTGGCCCCGTGATGGATTTATGACCTGTCCAGGGTGTAACACACATTTTGTACACTGACTGCTGGAGATGAGCAGACAGGTGGGTAAAGACAGTGCATACGTAAAACTAACAGCAGTAATTTGTAACGACTACTCAGCATGTAAATATGTTGATGCTTGTACGACGCACAAGTCATCGACTCGTTTGTTGCATTAAAAGCCCACGAGTTAAAATTTGGGGCAACAAGACAGAACTGTTGCTTCACCTAGTTGAGCTACACTGAACCAGTGCATCGAATGTACAACTCGAGTGCAAACGAGTTGATGAAAATGAGGTCAACCAGAGAGTCAAATAAATACACCAACAGCTTGCCATACAAAAGAGCCTTTGCTGCCATTTTTCCTTCTGCGCAGCCTCCGAGTGTGAACTGCGTGCCGAGTACAAGTGCTTCTATTGTTGGCACGGCAGTGGTCACAGGGAACACCTTCATTCACGCAGCTATTTTTAGCCCTGAAGCTAAAGAGCTGCGCAGCTCCAGCAATAAGAGCTGAAAAGGCCTGACTCGTGCACCCATTGTCTCCTCGCCCGCTCTGTTCAGAGCTTTGTCCCTCCCTTCTCGCCACAAGCACCAACAGCTTCTAGTTTTCTCCTTTTGCAACCCAGCAAAGACCCCCAACTGGCCTTTTTTTTATCTCCTTCCTCCAAAACACTAAAGCAGAATAAGATTTCCCTGTCTGTTAGCAAAATATCTCATAAACCACTGCACAGATTTGAATGAAACTTTCAGGAAACGTTTAATGGATGCACACCTACAACCGATTAACATTTGGAGTCGATCCAATTCAAGGTGAACGCCACAGCTGATGAACATGAGCCGACGCAAAGTTGACAACTGACGGTTTTAGAGAGATTGAGCTAAAACCTGGTGGTGGTAACTTAAAGTCATCCTCAACACATAATCAGAAGGTTGCATGAAGAGCATAAAACTCATTGTTTTAGTGAATGTTAACCCTTTAGTTAGTTTAGCAGTCATGTTAGCTTAGTTTGCATAAACAAGCTCATTGCACATTTTGGAGGAATGCACTTAATCTGTGTTACCAAAGCAAAAGCTTTCATAAGATTCAATGTTTTAACCTGCAAAAGACCATATTAAATCGCAGGTATGCAAGCTGCAGGACTAATTTCTGTCAGATAAGTAGTGTAACCTGTCCGCTTGAATGCCGCAGTAAATTCCCAGCGTCGTGACAGAACAAGCTGCTTTGTGCAGAGATCATAACAACACAACACCACTTCCTGTAAGACGGCTGGAAATGTAATAACTGGAAATCATGGAGGCGAAACCACCCTGAGAACCTGCTGTTTGTTTATTTCATCCCGCCTTAACAAACTCCAGTGAACTACGCACAATAAATAGAAACTCCTTAAATTATTAAAACATGTAAAAACATCAGTGGAAAAGTCCAAACATTGCATTGACCATAAAATAATAATATTAATAAGAGGAATAATAATAATAATAAAAAAAGTAGAGAAAAAGTTCCCTTTTTTTCGGTTTGTCAAAGTGACGATGGATAAATGTGCTGCTTGTATTTTGGTCGCACTTTCACAGGAAGTTGATGGTTTGCCACCACCGGACCACTTCAGTGAGGTCCAGTTCTCGGAGCATCGTCGGCTCTCCGGCTGCTTTTCTCCAGAACACGTGATCCCCGCTGCGTGCGCTCGTCGCCTCACATGGTTCAGTTTCTTTCTCGGCAGTCGCGTGGTGGAAATCCAGGAACACAGAACTGCTGAGTCACTCTTCCTTGGCCCATGACTTCACCGTGACTTGGTAACATAGCTGGATTGTTTTTTTTTTGTTTCTTTCTTCCTCCTTCAATAACCTCCCCACCACCACCACCTCCTCGATGTACCCGTTGCTCTCTGGGTGGCGGGAGGTGCAGGGAGGGAGGCCGCTTCAAACAAGTCCAACACAGACATTAAACACCGGCCCTGGTGCAGTTTCCCCCTGAACGCGTACACAACACAGCCATGCTCCCTGAGCAAGCGAGGGAGGGAGGCTTCACCGGTCGGGGAGGTTGATGACAGGAACCCACTGGTCCAAACAGCGGCTGTCTCTGCAGAACCGGTTCACTTTGCTCAGCGCGGGGTCCTTCCACAGCGCCGACTGAGGGTTCTGCAGGAGGAAGAGCGCAGTCAGAGTCTGGTTCACACATAGGGCTGCCACAAATGATTATTTTTATAATCGATTAATCACTGATTTTTTTTTTTTGATTAGTCGACTAATTGGATCATACATTAATTGAATATAAAACTTACAGCTTATCACGTCAGAATGCAGCTGCTATTATATAACCATGGTTAGATTTTAGCTATATGCTAACTAAAAATAATTGCTGTGGAAGGTAAGTTCTGCTCTGCAGATGTTGCACAGGTTTCTCTTTCATTTTCTTAAAATGATACCACACTTTTGAGCTCCATTGTCAGGTAGCCATGATACCAGAGCCTGTCTGTATAATGTCTTGTGACGTCCACGGCCTACCCCAGTTACCACTACTGTGCATGTGTGTCAAGGACAGAAAGGCAGACGTGGCAGTGGAAGGTGTCAAAGCAGTTTGGAGAGAAAAACAAAGTAAAGAACAAAAATGAAAATGATTAATCGATTATTAAATTAGTCGTCGATTATTTTAATAATCGATTAGTCGTTGATTAATCGTGGCAGCCCTATAGAGCATCACGAGGCGTTTGGCCAACAGATCGATGCTAACCACTAACACGAACTTACAGTGACCAGGACGCAGTGCAGGTCCACGGGCTCCCCGCCGGGCTTCACCCCGCCAAGGATCTCCGCCAGGCGCCGCATGTTGCCCACGCGCAGGATGTTGATGTCGTTCTCGCAGCAGAAAGCTTGGATCAAGGTGAAGTGGATCTGCAGCGCCACATCTTCGTGGTCTGCAGCCAGCAGGCACAGCACCACGTTGTCCGGGTCCCTGCAGGGGGTCAAAGAGGGGGAGACTGTGAGGAACACCGGCAGGAGGAGGAGGAGGGGGGCACTGCAGCAAGACTCATCCTTGTTTTCAGAGAGATTATCCCCCCACAACTTACGCGTTGAGAGCCTTTGCAGCCTCATACACTCCCACAGTGATGCAACCCTGAGGCAAGGCAGAGCTCAGCACCTCCTCCAGAGCCCGAGCCACCGAGTCCATCCTGGAGACAAGAAGAAAAGTTGCAAAAAACACAATGACGGTCAGTGAATGTGATGCACAAGTCATTGTAACGTCACATGACAGCTCGTGATAAAACCCAACAGTTAGTTTATCCATCGTGCTGCTTTAGCCATAAGAGCTAATGCTAACGAGCATAAATGAATAAAACCTCGACACGAAAAAAAAACATCAAGTTTAATAACTAACTAAAATAAACACAAAAATAAAGATAAAACCCTCAAAGTGAGACAGTAAGGCACCTTTCTGTAGAGCTGTCTCCAGCGGTTTCTTCAAAAGTCATATTGCACATCCAGTCGGTGAGGTGTCCCGCAGCACGGTCCAAACCTGAGCCCGTCCCTGTCTCTGTGGACCCGGCGGCCTCACTTCTCTGTAGTAAAACCGCCCGTGTGCCCAGAAATGATTTACATACGGCCGTCCCACTGGAGGTGGACCGGTCACATGCACGCACACGGCCCGGCGTCAGGCCGCCCTGTGTGTGTGTGTTTACACAGCGCCACCCGGCGGCCATCTTGGATCAGGACCGTTTATCTACAGCAGTGGTTCCCAAACCTTTTATCTTCTGACCCACTAAATATCCATGGCAAAAACTTGTGACCCCAAATATTACTGGTCTGAGTACACAAACTTTGTTGATAACCCTAAAAACACAGGCTACACAAATATAAATACTTATTTATACTTATTTTGTGTTTTTGTAATAATTACAGGGAAAATCTTACATCAACAATTATTTTATTACCCTTTAAATTGATTTCTGAAGTGCAGTGGTTGTAAAACTTTTCAGCTTTTGACCCACAAAATAACAGTAGACCTGTGCCCCCAACTGTGTTTGGATGATAAACATTTGTATCAGGTCAATTAAACATGGGCATAGTAATAATATTTATTATACTACATTTATACATTTTAGGCAAATAAGGCAAAAATGTAATTAATTTAGAAAATCTTTTCAGGACCCCACCTTGATGTTTCATGACCTCACTTTGGGTCCCGACCCCAACGTTGGGAACCACTGATGTACAGTTCATTCACACCTTCACAGACTATTGTCCCATTAGTTTTAATATAAAATATTGAGGTAAGTTCTTGTTTAATGATCACTAAAACACTAAAATCATACTTTCCTCTAGTTCTGGTTAAGGATGTCCCGATCCAGATTTTTTGGCTCCCGACACAATCCGATTTTTTTAATGATTAGTCTTTCCGATAACGATCCGATAGCTTTATCTTTTATTTCTTTCCAAGTGACAAGGTTGGTAGTATTAAAGCGAGCCCTGCTGTTCCCACCACGAGAAACGTCCAGTTTGCAGATTTTGCAAGATGCAGTTTCATCACCATTGTTTCCATTGAAAAGTGTTCCCACACTGTGGACATGGTTACTGTACATATTTGTGTGTGTCTTGACTTCTGAACGGCAGTTGTAAAGCATGATGATGCTGAAAACTGTCACGAAAACTGGGTCGGCCCGATCACATGACTAAATCCGATTCTACCCGATTTTCAAAAAAAGAGGCCATATCTGCCACCGATACTGAGTATCTGATCGGGACATTAGTTCTGGTTCCTGATGGCACCATGTCAGTTTTAGCTTCTTCCATTTTCTACCTGTAAAGTTCAAAGCAGAGGTTAAACTTAGGGTTGGGCAATATTGGTAAAAATCATGATTAATTGTCGTATTTAGCCAACAACGATTAATTTGACGATTAATCCCCTGGAGTGCCTGGACACCCTTATGTCCTCGTCACACGGCCAATTTAGTGGGAAAGATTTGCTCTTCGTAAAAATCTGTTCCAAATTGTGTCAAAATTACAGACTTCACACCACACATAAAATTTTAAACTGTGTTGATAGATAAATAAATTACAGAACTTTTTTTTTAGTGTTCGTCATGTTTGAAGCAGAAAGGAGCAGCAAGCGGACTCTGCCTGGTGGCATTAATTGTATTAATTATCAAGTGCCAAAAAATAGTCGATTAATGTTTTTCTGACGATTAATTGCACACGATACGATTATGCCCAACCCTAGTTTAAATCTGGCTTTGAATATACAAAGCTCTCAAAAACCATCCTCCATGTCTCCATAAAGCTTTTCTACATTTTTCCTAACAGAGCACTTCACTCTCAGACTGCAGGTTTACTTGTGGTTCCTCCAGTTTCTAAAAGTAGAATGGGAGGCAGAGCTTTCAGTTATCAAGCTCCTCTCTTGTGGAACCAACTTCCTGTTTCTGTCCGTGAGGCTGACACTACTTTTTGTCTGCTTTGATATATCAAAGTGGATTGTTGGTCCCCTACTTTTAAGACTAGACTGAAGACTTGTTTTTGATAAATCCAGTTTGGGTTTCTTGAATTTTCCCATAGTTCAGCTATAGGATGACAAACTGACCATATTTCTTCACTCTGCTGTCTTTACACTCTGTATTTTCTGTTTTTACATTTGCTACCATTATCCCCGTTTTTAGTTAGTTTGTCTTCCTTTATAAATTACACCTAGACCAATCCTTATCTCTTTCATGTCACTCAAAGCTGGTCGAGGCAGATGGCTGACCATCACGAACCTGGTTCTGCTGGAGGTTCCTTAATCTTTTCTTTCCACTCTCACCAATTTCTGATTCTAGGTTGCAACAAAGTGAAGACTTGATCTGATTACTTCCTCAGATTTAATATAGCTTTTCTTTACAAATTGGCATTTCATAAAGCACAGTATGTGAATGTAATGTTTTATAGTAGAGTTTAATTGGCTGAAATTAGATTAGAATTTGGATCTGAATTTGAATTCACAATTTGGATTTGTTTTTAGCAAGTGGTGTTGAATGTTCTTGAAAGTCTTTTACAAGACCTATTACCATGATCAAAACTAATAAAAAATACAAATTTCCTCAGTGCTACCAAATAGGCATGTTTGATTAAATAAGGCTGGATTTACAAAGAAAAAAATTGTATAGGTCTTCTGGACGGGTTCTTCTCTAATGAAACGTTTCGTCTCTCCTCCA